TATATATATATATATATATATATATATATATATATATATTTTATCATAGGTTAAACTTCATTGATAATACAATATCTTTATAATATTAATATTTGTTACTCTAAATCCATTTAAACTAAAACTTATAATATACAAAAATTAAATTTTTTAAATATTTATCATAAATAATAAAAATTAATTCGTATTTATTTATATTGTGATATTTAAACGAAGAAAATTCAGATAAACTCTCTTGCACTCATATGTGATGACATAATTCAAGATTGCTTGACAAATAATTATTAATTAATTAAGATTACGGCTAATCCTCTAGTTAATTAAATTTTATAATAATTTGGTGAATATGGGTAAGCTGTCATTTGTCAGTCTTGTGTCCAAGAAAATGCCGTAAGTTTCACATGTGTGAGAGATAAGTAGAACAATGTTTCAGACATTACGTGTCTGATACGCGAGATAAAATGAGATATTTTATAATATATTACATTTAATTAACGGTATAAAGTTGATCTTAAAATTAACTTATACAGTTAAATTTATATTGTCAATTAAAAACAATATAAATTTTATGATCACATCTTATTCTATCGAATTAGAGATTATTTTATTTCATTTCATATATAGAATAAATTAGTTCGGGGTTATAATTGTAGCATAATTCAGTTTGTGTATCAAACGACTACTAAGTAATTAATTTTCGACTAATATGAATTATGATGAAAAATTGAGATTTCTTCGTTAATAATTAAAGGTCTCGAGTTTGAATTTCTAAAAAATAAAAACGAAACATTGGATCGAAGCGCCTCTCTAAGAAAATACATCTTGTAATGTGTGAATTTGATTTTTTCAGTATTTTGTGAGTAATAATCCACGAATATCTATTTTTGAGATAGTATGAAGCTCTTACTGATAATGTGGAGCCAATAGCACATAGAGATGTGCACCAACTTATCTACTCGATCTCCGGGTCATATTCGATATCTATTTTGAGACCTTAATTAATTTTGATGTAAGTCTAAGTTAGATGATTATTAAAGAAAAAATATTTTTGAACTGAAATATCTAATTAAAAATGCAAGAGCATATGTAGATTATTAGTTCATCCGAATTCAATAGGTTTGACTCATATCCATATCTATGTCGATGCCCTATAAGGGGTGAAATCGAATTAAATGCATACATATAATAGATCTTGAACTCAATAAACAAAAGGCTATAATAGAAAAGTACTAAGTATTTGTGTATTGCTCCCTCTACTCCCTATAAGGGGTTTCATAAAGTTTTCGCAAAAAAATCGTCTAGAAGTCATATTACTAAAATATTTATGAGCTAACAGACACGAAAAACTAAAAAAATCGCCTAATTCTTATAAATTGGCCTCTAAATGCCAAAAATCACTCTAAAATTGGTGAGACTGTACATATTGCTCCTTCCAAACTCCCTACGGATGGTTCCATTAAATTTTTGATTGTGAGTCTACTTATTATTGACTAATAACTTGACATTGCTTTAGAAAATCATAAACCTTAAATTCTGAATCCGTCTCTGCAACTCAAGTAGACACAAGAGTTCCCTTGGACCACGGTGAACCGTCCGAGTCTAGTTCGAGTTGATTATTGTGACAACGCGTATAACACATCCATTTTGGGACCCGAATAGTTTTGATTAACAATTGAATAGGACCAGAGCTACAACGACAAAGGGTGATCAGTTAAACACCCTTCGTCTGAAAAACTTTATCGCGTATATAAGGTCAAATTTTTTTTGTTTAGTATAAGTGAGAAAAAGTTCAGAAGAGAAGTTTAATTGAACAATGCTCATGAACCATCACTTCATTTAACTTCAAAGGCAAATTAGTGACATTTTCCAAACACAAAACAAAACAAGTTGAGTGATCTTTATTTTCAATCCTAACTACAATGACACTTCTCTTTACAACATCCTAGAAATTTCGGTTACAAATTCTCACTCGCGAAGTCATTTTTCCTGTTTTCATCGACGATGACTAAGGTTAGTTCAAAATTTAAGCCAAACCAACGAGTTTCTCACTGACTTCCCACACTTTACGCGCTTTCTCTGCATCACTTGCTTCTTCGGACAACTGGTTTTCGAAAGAAGCTGAGTCTTTGTTCCAGCTCCAGTAGACACCTGATTTTGTCAAGCTTGGATCACTCACAACCTGCGATAAGACAGATATACATCGATCAAATATGTTTCATTCCCAAAGTAGTCCGCTTTTAGCTATAATGCCAGCCAGAAACTTCGTTAAGAGTGTTCAAGATTGATTATATATGCACAAAAAGTGATATGTCACTTGTATACACAGTATAATTTTCCGTTGAAGACTATAGCTCCAGCCTTATTTAGCTATATGAATCATGTATATGCATTATAATCTACTATTCAGGCCCAAAAATAAGAGTTAAAGATGGTGTCGGATCCTCCAAAAATGAACTACTTTTGGAGGATCTAACACACATGAAGAAAACATTTTTTGAAGAGTCCGAGCAACATAGTTACCAAAACGAAGAGTTGTATAAATGCATCTTTTGAGTTGACAGAGTAATTTGCTGTTAGTACTAGTACTTGTTTCTTTATCAATTCTATTTAGGCCCTCAGACCTATATTGCTCTGACTTTCCCAAATATGTTGCCGCACCCGTATCAGATCCTCCAAAAGGATCCAACACGCACCCCAAAAACATTTTTGAAAAGTCCGAGCAACATAGCCCAAAACTAAACAACAACATACCCGGTGAAATCCCACAAATGGGATCTCGGGAGGGTGAAGTGTACGCATATCTAACTCCTACCTTGGGAGATAAAGAGGTTGTTTCTGATAGAATCTCAGCAAAGCCCAAATCTACGAGTTAGATAAATGCATTTTTTGTTCAGTACTAGTACTTGTTATTACCTGAGCAAGTCTCTTTCCAGATTCAGTCTCAGAGACATATCCCTTCGTAATATACTTTTGAAATGGTGGGAAAAGAAGCCTAAACAAGGGGATGTGTTCTCTGAATAGCCCTGTTGTTGCAATGCAGCCAGGGTAAAGAGAGGCAAATGTGATACCAGTTTCCTCGTGGTATCGACGATGGAATTCCTGCATCGTAAGCATGTTGCACACCTTGCTGTCTTTGTATGCTTTTGCACCGTCAAATTCACCTCCATCGATCATCGCTGAGCTGTTAATTCCATTTAAACCTCCCGCCATACCCCTCAAGTCGCCGAGATTGGCCTTTGGAGGTACATTTCCAGCCAGAGTATTCGTGTTCCCTGACATGTCAAGAAAAGTTTAGTCTCCCACTAAAAAGAAGTCTGTGTGAAAGAAAGATCCGTAAATATCCATTCGAGACAATAGATGAAAAGGTAAAGCGAAGCCAGCTAAATGAAGGTCGTTCTAGTCCGTGGTGGAACTAGGATTTTCACTACGAGAAGTCAAAATATTAAAAAGTGGACGCACACGAAATTCAACATATAGTAAACATACATTCAAAAGATTAACACCCCTAGGAAAAATGTGGCTCCGATACAGGTTTTAGCGCCTCTTATTTCACTAGAGCAAGAAGGGAGAAAGTTGTCTTTGAGAAAGAAGGGCTTCAATTCAACTACGTTGCTTAGACTATCTAAAAATGTTATCACGCCCCGTGTTGGATCAAAAAATGCACTACTTTTTAAGAGGATCCAACACGCATCTGATACATAGCTATTTGTTTAGGTCCTCAGCAAAGGGCGTAGCAGCTACACGAAAGCCGTGGCAATTTTTATGCATTACCTGTAATTGAACCAACAATGATGAGTCTCTTTGAAGGATAATCAGATTGCTTCAAGTCATCAAGCAACAATCTCGAAAGAAGAAAATGTCCAAGATGGTTAGTTCCAACACTAAGCTCAAATCCTTCTGCAGTAAATGAAGGCTCTTTAGCAGTTGGTTGGTAAACAGCAGCATTAGCAACCAACACGTCAAGAGGTCGTCCCGACCTCCTGAAGTTATCAACGAATTGACGTACACTGTCAAGAGAGGCGAGGTCCAAATGCATGATGGTGTAATTCTCCTTAGACATCCCAACTGATTTTGCAGCTTTCTCAGCTTTTAAAAAGTCCCTACATGCCATAATAACATGCCATTTCCCTGTTTCAGACAGAGCTTTTGCTGTGGCTAAGCCTAATCCTGATGAGGCACCAGTGACTATTACACAACCTTTTCTTAGTGTTTTTTTTCCTGATGGAGAGTTAGTAGTTACACCAGGAGAAGCAACCATTGTAGCTCTTACAACACCGCCATTTGACGATCTTCTTTGGTTCTGTAACAAATCAAATCTCAGTAAAACATCATACGTCTCTATAACAACATTTCGTTATAAACCCCCAAATAATATAATACAACAAATGATGCCGTTATAGAGAGGTTAAACTATGCTCCCTTCATTCCAAATCATTATGACACTTTTTACTATCCCCGAGAGGCAGTGGCACACGGCTAGACATAACGTGTCCACCTTCTACCCTTCTCCACTTAAATACCAGGATTTCATCTCGGACAATAGTCAAACATCTGGAGTGCACCTAATCATATCACATCGCGGAGAGGTGCAACGATCATTAAACGAAAGGACTCATTGCAAAACTTTAGACTATTAGACTTCTATACAATCTACTTTACATTGTTAATATCTTTCAACTATTACTAATGTAATATACAAACATAATTAAACTTAATGGATACAAATTATAGTCACATAAAATGAAATGAAGATTAATGTACTACATTAGTACCTTAACTCTAAATGAAGATGAACCAAAATCAGATTTAGTATAATCAGAAAGAGAAGCTCCAAAAATACTAGAATTCTTCAAAGTTGCACTAGCTTTGCCCTGCAATATTAACAAAAATGAACAAAAAATAAATAAAAAAAATTAATCAACAATAACTTTGAGAATTCAAATTGCACACTAAAATACAACAACATACTTAGTGTAATCTTACAAGGGGATCTGGGGGGAGGGTAATGTTCGCTACATTAAAAATGATCATTAGCGCCGCTAAATATGTATTTTTAGCGGCAAATTAACACTCTGTGTATGTCCCTAAACCCTTTAGCGACATTAGTTCTAATGACACTTAACTAATGCTGATAAAGACTTTAGCAATTCTTTATAACTGTCAATATTTAATGAAGCTTAAAGTTATTTTTGTTGCAGTGTGTGTACGTAACCTTACCCCTACCTTGAGAAGGTAGAGAAGTTTGTTTCCGATAGACCTAAGGACATAATTAGGGTTTTCTACACATTTGGCCACTAGATTAAAAATATTTCATTTTGTAGTCGATATACATAAATTATACACTAACTATACAGACTAAACATATATTATACATCCGCCAGACTATTTTTTTAGTACAAAAGAAAGAAAAAATGTACCTTGGAGAAAGTAGAAGGAAGTAGAGAAGAAGCCTGAAGAGCCATTAAGAAGTTCAATTTTGGGAATTTTTAGTCTGTAGAACTACTGGTACTGGCAGAGGTTTGGTCACACACACACACATATATATATATATATATATATATATTTTTATTCATCTGATATTTGAAATTCATTAAATCGCTCTCGATAAGTCAACAAAAGGGGTAAAATTTCCTTCTGTTTCGAAACTCAAACTTAAGATATCTAGTTAAAGATCACTTAATTAGCTCTCGATAGGGTCCACTAAAGGGGTAAAATCTCCTTCTGTTTCGCAACTCGAACTTCAAGATCTCTAGTTAAAAATCAGGGGAGTAAATGATTTATGAGTTAAAGAATTCTCGTGAACTCATTAGCTTTTGTTCGGATCTTTTGTATATGTATTAGAAAAATTCATTAACTAGACTAAGTAATAAGTGTCATTTTTATTTATTCATCTGGTACTTGAAATTAACTGAATCGAGTAATCTTGATTTCTGCTAGATAGAAACGGTATGAGGTAAAAGCTCCCGATTTTAGCCGTAAAATTTAAATTTGAGATCTTTGATTAAAAAACGAGGTATATGTAAGAGGGTAGGATAAGATTGTTTTTGGTGGAAGTATCATATCAATTCTTAGCCACCAATGAAAATTCAAGGTTTAGATTTCCTCTGATATTTTTGTAACTTTTTTGTAGAAATGGCCAATTATTGGATGGATTATATAGAAAAAGGATATTTTGGCACACTGCCCAAGGCAATCCACTTCAATTAGGTATGGGTTTTTAATGTATTCCCATATCTTTGGATTAAAAAAAAAAGAAGTTTTAAGATTATTTTTAAATCGAGAAATTTTCGAGAACCAGTAATTTATGACTTGTTTGTGCAAGAGTTTGAATGTGTAATGTGTATATTCATACATCACGTGTTGCATTTTGATTTAATAGACGAAAACCTTATTTATTTGTTATAATGTGATGGTCTATCATAATTGAGTGTGTTTTAAGTACTATTAAATGTTGTGTTAGAGTAATAGAGGTGAGAATGTAAATATAAAATATCTCCGAAAAATAACTCAAGATCATCAACCAATATGATATTTTCTCCATCTCATATTAATTGTTCGTTTTCCTCTTTACACGTCTTTAGAAATTATAAATGCTATAACAACTCAAGTTAGTTAGTTAGTTAAATTTAGGCTGCTAGACTTCGAGGTGAAAGTTCCACAATATTTGCCTTTTATTTTCAATTATAAAAGATGGACATTTTTGAAAATATTTTTATTCTTTCTTGGGTGTTTGAGTTTATCAAAATGGATAACGGTTAGAAACTAAAAAATTAATCAAATCGTAAAAATAAAAAAAAGAATCAAGATAAGTAAGACAGTTTTAAAAAGTCTAACGTAGGTTCTACATCAAGTAAATAAAAAAGAATGTTAAATTTTAAGAAAATAACCAATAAAACCGAATCATCGACACGTCGAGTTGTCAACATAACTAAAATATCTTGTCCCAAAACATTTGTCAAACTTGTCAATTTACAAAATCAAAAGATATAACAAATTACTTATCCTTAAAATTAGTTACTTCTTAGAGGAAATAATATTAACTACATTGGGAATAGTTTAAAAAGAATAAACTAGTGAAAATCCTTCTTAGTTAACTTCTTAAAGAGCTTAGAGGAAAACATGACAACTAATATGCGACAGAAGAGTAAATTTTATCGCGAAATATCACACTCGGCTCTCATTAAGGGCGAAAAATTTTTATCACCCCTTTTGTGAAGAAACTAGGAACAATTACATATAAATGTTGAAGAAACAATTACACATACATTTTCTACATTTACTAATGTATACAAATACTATTAGAAATTTGAATGAATTTTCAAAGAATTTTGTTTCAACTCAATGAAATTACAAGATTTCCATCTCTACAATTGCTGATTACAGAAAACAAACTATCCCTTTTCTACCTTCTTTTTTTTTTCCTTTTCATCAATACTACTCTTATATCATTATAGATCTTTTCCCCCTCTTCACAATTCCTTATCTAAGTTTTGATACAAAAGAAAGAAAAAAATCACTTATATTACAAATCTATCTGTACAAAGTTGGTAACTTGGCTGTAGCTGTGTACTGTGGCATCTCGGCAGACACTCCGAAAACATGGACCTTCTTGTTGGCACCTTAAATCCGAAATGGTAAGCCAAAATTTTGGAAAGTCCTGATCTCCCCGCGGTGGCTTGCAGTTACAATGACCAAACCCCAGCAGAACTTTGTTTGAGTTAAGCCATTGGAGAAGTCGATACTAGCATCTGTACTCACTCGAGGACTACGATATTTAGTAGCTAAGAGAAGTTTTTCCTCCGGCCATGTTGCTGAGATTCTATCAAAAAAGTAGTTGTTTGCGGCACTGGATATGGTTCCATGAAGAGGACTGTTACCACAGCCAGAAGTCAATGGCGAGCACTCATTGTCAATCTCTTCAACAGGTGAAGGTGGATGGTTAGCAGTGGAGACCTCGTCGAGACCATCATGACCACTTAGTTCTCCAGAAGATGAAGTATGATATCTCCAAGTATCCAACATACCAGGCCAAGGAATGGCCACTGAAACATCTTGAGAATGAAAATGCTCATAAGACTGTGTAACAGTAACACCTTTATTTCTGCTTGGTCGAGAGTGACCTTCGTGTTTCCAGATATAGACATGTGAATCCTCGCTAGCACAGACCACATATCTACCATCAGCCGTCATAGATGCTGAGATTTGCCTACTCGTATTGCGGAAACCTATCATAGTTGGAGCTAACTCAATGACTAGGAAGAGTACACGAAACAAAAACTGAAAATTGTACACAATAGTAATACATGACCATTCCTAAATAGCTTAAAAATTCCAAGGCACACAACAGGTCTATGCAGTGAACGGTGGGAAAGACTATTAGCAGCACAAAATAACAATCCAATATATTCATACTATGATTGTACCAGTGGTCAATGAAGTGGGACAAGAACCATGAGGTCCGAGGTTTGAATCTTAATGGAGATAAAAAACCATAGGTGATTCTTCTCAAGCCTAAACACTTGTGGGCAGAGTTACCGAAGATAGTGAAAGTAGCAGGTAGCAGATGGAGCAGTCGAGGAGTGCGCAAGTTGGCCCTAATATCACAACTTCTGATTAGCTTGTTTTCTCAGTTGTGCCAACTCAAAGCAGGAAAAAAAACCTCACCTTCATTTATCTCTCGATGAAGTTCAAAGGAGCATGTTGGCACTCAATGAGTAAAATGACTAAAAGGGTGTACAGTGCAATAGACCATGAAAAAAGGACTAGACTACTAAGCTATCGTGAACTGTAACAGAATAAGCACTTCTTTTTCAGAAAGAGAAGAAGAAAGAATGAAGAGAACTGAATGCAAAACCTTATCCAAATTATCTAAAAAATAAAGGGTACTGAATTCTCAAGGATCTCAATGAATTATTAAGATGCCAATTATTAAAGATCTATTCATCATTGAGAACATCCCATATATCCTCTCTCTTTCACATTCACTGATTATTTGAACAAATATAAATCCAATGATGTGCCCAAACAATAACAGTAATGTGTAATTTTGAAAAGTTAACTCAAGTACCATCAGAAGGGGTGAAAGAAGTGAATATAGTCATGCTACTCTTGTGAAATATTTAAAACACTACTTTGGTTACTCGCTACTCGTGTTTAACAACTGCATATTCTACACAAGCATATGACCAAGCAATCAATGAAACTGGTATAAGACTAGAATACGACATATGACCAAGCAATCAATGAAACTGGTATAAGACTAGAATACGACATATGACCAAGAAATCAATGAAACTGGTATAACACTAGAATACGAATCCTAGTTGAGATTTTTTTAAAAAAATGATTTTTTTCCATTTGCATGGACCTACTTAACTCAACACTTGTCTATAGGAGTATGTTTGTCCAAGTAAAACAGTCGATTTGTGTACAAGCTAGCTCAAACATTATCAAAAAAAAAAAGGAAACTCATTTTCCCAACTAAATGCTCCAAATAATTCAATTTATGTCTATCTAGGACAAGTATAACAAATTTCGAGGGCCAACCAACTAATTCTAAGCAACTGAACATTAAACTAAATTGTTAAGAGCTTGAGATTTTAGTAAACAAAACAATTGTGTGAAAGCCAACAATGTAGACCTACACTTTTGGGAGCTAAGTTCAAGAGAAATCGTAATGACTGGGAAGTGGATAAGTTCAAACAATTCATCCAATTGTTTGAAAGTTTCAGATTTCAGGAAATGGAACCTGACATATGGGCTCCATAAAGTAAAGGTACTTTCTCAGTCAATAGCTACAAGTTCCAATGACCTCCACTACATCAAAACGGAATCACAGCTTGTGGCTTGATGACAAATATGGAGGTTCAGGGACCATACAAGGTACTGTATTTTTGTTGGACTGTCACATATGAAGCAGTTCTTACACAACAGTCATTACAGGTAAGGGGCATAACTATTTGCAGTATGTCTACTGTGTGAAAAGAATGAGGATCCTAATCATCTTTGCATTGTAATTTGTAGCTTCACAACTCAAGTGGAATCTATTTTACAACATTTCACTAGTTAGCTGGGTGATGCCTAGATATATCAAACAATTACGGGACTATTAGACTGCTAAGGGTATTGGGAAGGAGAAAAAAGAGTCTGGGAGACCATTCCTTCTTGCATATGGTGTGTGTTGGAAGGAAAGGAAAATGATGTTTTGGAAGCAAATATGGAAGTATGCATACAATGAAAAAATATAGATGTAAATTCTTTTTGCCTTTTTTTGGTAGACTAGAAGATGTTAATACATCAAATAGGATGTTAGATGTCCTCAGTTTCCTACAGTGATGTAAAAGTACTGATTTGCATGAAACTTGGCAGAAACTTCGTGCTTCTGTTTATAAAATGTTACCATTCTCAGAAAGAACTGTTGAGAGGCCAACAGCCACTATAAAGCAAAAGCTGGTGCTTGGCTTCATTTATCAGTAGAAACCCAGGGCAGGCCAATTACTTAAAGAAAGTAACTCATTTCTC